TATAAAAATAGGGCCTTCCTGGTGGTGCAAGAGTTAAGTCTCAGCACTATGAAGCTATCTGCAGCCACTGCAGCAGGAGTTAGATTTCCCGTCAGGGAGTTGACCCCAGGGTGCAGCAGACCTCGCTTGTCTTGACAGCTGCTCCCCTCAGCAGTGTACTTCAATATATCTGTCTATTCTGCTCCTCAGTCTGTCTTTGGTGAATTCTCTCTTTCTCTCTCTCTCTCTCTCTTTCTCTCTCTCTCTCTCACACACACACACACACACACACACCCCACACATACATATCTCTGGCCTGCACTCCAGTTCATAGATAGATAGATTAGATTAGATGGATAGATAGATAGACAGACAGACAGACAGACAGACAGACAGACAGACAGACAGACAGACAGACAGACAGATAGATAGATCTTTACAAAAAAATTTTAAAAGAAGTACATTCAACTTGAATAAAGGGTTTTTTAAATAAATGCTGTTGAGCAAGTTAGGTATTTAAAATTTTCTGATGAAAGGAAAGTGATTCCCTAAAACTATGAGCACGTAAGTGTATACTACTAAGCCCCAGTTGTTGTTTTGTTTTTTTTTAAGATTTATTTATGCATACAGAAATGAGGTATAGGCCAGAGATGCAGGGGATGAGAAGATTCCCTGAAGACAGAGTGGGGAGAAGAACAGGCAGAAGTACTGTATTTCAGTAAGGGGAGCAGCAGGGAGATCAGGAGAGGTCTGTCATGCCACGTGGGTCACCCCCTCCCTGGCCAGGGATTGAACTCATGCTACCTATGCTGCGGTAGCTTCATAATGCTGTGCTTTAACCTGTTGTGCCACCAGGGAGGACCATAAGCCCCAGTATTCACCAGCTAAGTCCTATGAATCGTTCTGCAGAAACAGCAGATATATCATTTATCAGGACATCACAACTAAACAGCCATTAATCCCTTGCTTACTCATTTGAAATGCACTGCTAGGAATTTGTGACCAAAGCTGTAACAATTAAAGATTGGTGATTAACTTCCCAGTCAGTAATGAAGAGAAGATTGTTTCTATAGATAAAACACAGCTATATTTTATCTCCTCTAAGAGTTTATTTTTAAACATTTTATTCTTGACATTTTAAAGTCAGTTTCACAATCACAAAGATTATAAAAAAGAACTTTATTCTCTCTCCCAAAATGAAACAGAACATTCTGAATCCACATAATCTCAAAGTATTACTCTTTGATGTCAATGTAATTATAGGGTAAAAGAACATATGGTAAACAAGGAGGCTGAACCCAGGAATAATGGACCAAAGGATTCTCTACCAAAGGATTTTATGTCTGTATTCTTGCTTCAATCACACTAGGATGATCAAATCTTTTAGCTACTGACATTGCTTTTGCTTTATCCTTCATGTCAATTTAAAACTATCCAAATATTCAAACTGTTTCTAGACCTGTTCTGAGAAAGGCATTTAAGAGGCTTTGCAATCTGCACAAAGACATGGTTCTTATAGTAGTATAGCACTTCGTTCAGTAGTATCACCCAAAAGTCCCTTGTTTTTTACTATATCAACATAATCTGTTACTTAATACACTATCCCTCCCCACCTGTCCCAAGTTTTCCCTTTCACAGCTACTGAACCACAATATGGTTCCTATTCTTTTTTTTTTTTTAAGATTTATTTATTTGTGCATACAGAACTGGGGTATAGGCCAGAGGCTCAGGGGCGGTGAGAGGCTTCACCAGAGACAGAGTGGGGAGCAGATCAGACAGATCAACAAAGTACACTGCTGAGGGGAGCAGCGGGCGGGCCAGGAGAGGTCTGCTTAGCCATGTGCTCACCTCCGGGGCAGGCAGGAATCGAACTCATGGGGAAGTGGCTTTAGATTCTTAGTGCAGTGCTTTAACCCGCTGCGCCACCAGGGAGGGCCCCTACTTTTTATTTAAAGATTTACTGTTATTTATTTATGCATACAAGAGCTGAGGTGCAGGCCAGAGGTGTGGGTGTGGGGGGGCATTCACCAGATAAAGAGTGAGGCACAGAATAGGTAGGTCTGCTGAAGCACACTGCTGAGGGAGCAATGCGCAGGACAGGAGAGCTCTGCCGTCCCAGGTGGATCGCTCCCTGGTGGGAGACTTAGCCCCTTACACCTATTCTAAGCACATCTCAAAAAGCTTCTCCCTTCTCAAAATCTTTCAAGGACTTTTCTCTGCACAAAGAATAGAATCCAAAGTCATTAGTGTGGTTATGTCATTCTAAATGATTTGTTGTTCTCAATGACATTCTCCACCCATTTATATCTCTTCAAGTTGTTCGCTCTGCCTACAATGTTCCTTGTCTATCATAAAATTCAACTCTTCTTGTTAAAATGTTATACATCCAAATATCCCCCAGTATCTAAAATAATTCTGTTCCCCCCACTATTTTGTGAACAGATACAAAAGTAACATATACAAGTCATTTTAGTGAAACTGGACAGCATCAATAAGCTAATGAGATTCAAGAAACCTACTCCAAAAATAGTATGTAAATACAATACTGAAATTTACTAGTTCTAGAAAATTAACGAAATATGAAAGGAAAACTGTAACCTAAAAATGTACTGTCATTTTTTTTTAATTATTTATGCATACAAGAACTGGGGTACAGGCCAGAGGTGTGGACACGAGAGGATTCACCAGAGACAGAGTGAAGAGCAGAACAGGCAGATCTACTGAAACACACAGCTGAGGGGAGCAATGGGTGGGTCAGGAGAGATCTGACACGCTATGTGGGTCACCTCCCTGGCCAGTGATCGAACTTGTGACTGTGGATAGCTTCATAGTGCTGTGCTTTAACCCACTGCGCCATCAGGGAGGTCCCTGTACTGCCATTTTAAGAAGAAAAAAAAATTCTTAATAAAAGAGAGAAAACAGAACAGAACAGTAAACTATCAATGAATCCAAACCTACAAAAACAGTTGTTCTCATATAGCGAATTTCAGTATCCCCACCCCCTGGATCAGATATTATCTTAGAATGCAAATTAGAGGTGAGGAATGCATTAGATGCTCCAAGTGTTAGTTATCAGATGAAATCCAAATGTTTAAACACTGGTAAAGATTTATATTTACAACACTATAGAATTAGACATGTCAAATCTGGACTTCTGAACCCCTCCAGGATGCATTCTTTGGTACAAGTGGATTAATATAACTTAATAGGGTAATCTCAAAAGTTCTCAGGCTTCCCAAAATTTTAATTGTAATTGAGATCCAAGCAGATTTTCTAAGTTCTTCCTGCAGTTATCTTTGTGATTCTAAATATTTAGAAGTACATTAATACTTCTTTTGATTATATAAATCTGATGGAGCAATTAGCTCCATGAAATTCATCAAATCACCTCTGGATTCAGAGTTTAGAGACCACAATGCTAAGGGACAGATTCCAAACCACCACTGCTATTCATCATCCTGAAGGCCTTATACCATATTTCTGCTTTAATTTTAGCAATGCCACAGACACTGGCTTTCAGTAAGCTTTGACTCAATGGAATGCAGAGGCATCCCTTTATTGAAGTAGGTTTGAGGAAAATGACTAAAACTTGAACAGGAGAAAGTGGGACACACAATTTTATAATCAGCTCACACAAGATTCAACTGAATCTTAGCATTTAGACAATATACCAAATAAAATTAAGAGCAGATAAAGGTTTGCATCCATGTTGCAATGTTGCAGAGATGTAAACAGAACTAAATCTCCTGATTTTGTAAACCAAGTGGTTTGTTTCACTATAACATGCTTCATCTTCCAGAATGTTTTAATTATGTCTAGATAGACAAGTAGGTGTATAATATGTTTCACATTTATTATTCTTTCACATTTATTATTCTGAATTAGAAATCTGTGCTTGTTTCAGCAGCACATACTGAATTAGAAATCTCCCCAAGCCTAAAAGGAGCCATTCATCAATTACATAATCACATATTTTTCTCCATTAACTCCAACTAGGCAATACTAAAAGAAAAATAATCTGGTATATTTATCAGGTCAAAAAATTGTGTCTTATAAATTCAAAATATACACCATCTAAATCTAAATAAAAGTAGGCTATCTGGGACTAAGAAACTGAATAACACTAACTGGAAAAGGGAGACATGCTTAACAGACCAGCATCTGAAGAGTAATAAAAGCCATTATTAAACAGCAACCTCTATTCACCATAAACTGGGTAAAAAGTTAAGTTTTACATGTATTTTTAATTTTAATCTTCACAAGAAATTTTAGTATAATTCTTATGAAAGACAGATTAACTCCTAAAGAGCTTAAGTAACTTGTCCAAGATTATGAAGTACTAAGCCTAGCTCTGAGTATTTTCTTAGCTTTGATTTCAAATCTCACATACCTAACTTGTAAATTAAGTTTTCTGTTAAGATCAGCTTTAATGTATTATCTTCACCTTTAGAACAAAAAATCCCAACTAGTGAAATTAGCTTAATCTTAGAGAAAGCAAGGTTATAATCTGCATGAAGAAAGCTTTTCTATTTGAGTTTACAAACTGGTGCTATCGTCTTAATGCTACTATTAGTAAAAAAGTGTTCCTCAGTTTGATAAAGTCATTGATGGATCATAATACAATTCACTATTACATATTAACCAAAACAGCTTCTACAAGTTATCAACCAAAATAATAGAAATAAGTTAGTATTATACACCTACAAATTCAAAAACTTTAAAAGAGACATTTTCAAAAACTTTAAAAGAGACACATTTTCAATGGAATTATTTCACAAGCCAAAGTTTCCACTTGTCTTCTTTTTAGCAATTTAATTTTAACATCAAATACTGAGCATTTGGAATATGAAACAGTTGCAAATCACTTAGTCCACATGCTAATCAAAGTTTCTTCACTCATCATATATATGATCACTTTCTTTTAAAAAGATTACTATGGTAAAAATCATTACCACCATCAAGAATTTGTAAGAATTTACTCAAACAGCTCAGTCTGTTACAACAAAAGGCTGTTAACCTACCTGTCACTGCTGGTACTACTGCTGCTGCTGATTGAATCACTACTGGAGGATCTACTCCTAGAGCCGCTGCCGCTAGGGGACCTTGTGGGTCTAGATGCTTGGCTAGCCAGTCTCTGAGGAGACTGATTTCTAGACTGGGATGAATGTGGTGACCGACTCCTGCTGTGCTGGTAATTCCGCTCTGGCCTTCTGCCTCGTACCTCCCGGGTAATATCATCCCTGTAGATATCCCTGTGTACCACACTGGGCAGTGTAAACTGCTCCCGAGCCCTAGGTTCGTATCGGGGGTCATGAGCATCAAAACGGTTTGGACTTCGACTCCGAGAAGTGTAATAGAGCCCATGCTGTAAAGTCCGCTCTCGAGGATCTCTATAGTAATCCTGATCGTAATGTCTTGTCCGATCAAATCCTCCCGTCCCCCGTTCATGGTGTCCATAGGCACTATGTTCATAAGCACGCTCCCTGTTATCTGAAGCCCTGCATTTAGGAGGGGGGAAAAATATTCAATCAATCAGAAAGGGGCAAGCAAAACTAAAAGCAAGTCATGCAAACATTCACTTCAGCAATGTCTTTGTCTTTGCAACTGAACATTTTCTAAACAGCATTAACTTACTTACTTAGTAAGCAAACACTAACAAGCTTAACATTTTGCCTGACTCCAAAAATTATTTTTACAGCTGAGCAATCACTGTTTTAATTGTATGTTGGGCTTTCATGACCAGTATTTTGCTCCTTTTATTAGGGGTTTTCTTACTTATACAGAAAAGTATACATATACTATCTCCTTCATTTTAAGTTTCAAAAAGAAGAGACAGTCATTTTAATATAAAAGTCTTCCATATTTTCATCTGATTTAAATATATGCCAACTTTTATTTTGCAAATTTATTTTGGCTAAAATTTCCATGACACATTTTAACACTGACATGAAAGCCCTATTCATTGCATGTCCCAGCAGAAGGGCACCTTTGAAGAAGTCCAGGGAAAAAACTTTAGATAATTTTTTCTTTGATTTCTTGGATAATTGTAAAAATTACTAGACTATGTAAATTGCAATAATTGTAAGAATTACTAGACTATGTAAATTGCTGTGCCTAAATAATCACATTTTAATAATAAAAAAGAATTTTTAAAAATAAAAGCCATTTAAGAAATTTAGCTAATTAAAGATGAATGGTTATTTTATATCCTTGTTATCAAATTCTACATAATTTTTAAAATACCTATTCCTTGACTTAATTTGTTAGTGTAGCTACTTAATGGTTACCAAAAATATGCTCTCTTAGATTTTAGCTAGATTTAAATACACATAGTTGCCTATGATGAAATTAGGCAACTGGAAATTAGATACTAAGGTTGCCATTAGCAATAGCAATAGCAACAACAAAAACTTCTTAGTAGGATGTGAATAATTGTAAACAACACAAAAAATATTGCATGTGTAATTAGACATATGCAATTATATGTTAATATTAAAAGCCAATTCTCATTCCGTGAAGAAATCTTTAATTCTCTACTTTTGTAGCAAACTAGAACTCATTTCCTGAGTTTCTAAAAGACCATTTCCCTGAATCAACCTGAGGCTAAATTTCTTCTCAACCCTATCTTTGGACCTATCTTCTATCGAAAAATATTAAGGAATCACGAAAGATGTGAATTAAAATCTCTACAGTGAGGACTACCTGGAAATATCTTACAACTAACATTATGCCCCAATACATGCCTAGATTCCAACTCTCCACTACATTTTTTTACCTGCCATTTCACTTAGTAGCAATCATGGTTTTCCATGATTGCTTTTTACTGCTATTATGAAAAGCAACTGGCCTGACATAAAAATGCAACATTTTTCCTGCTTAAATGTATTAAATGATTTTTTTACTCACTACATTTTTAGAAATTGAATAGATATTTCAATGGCTAACAAGCAAGCTTTCTTTTGAGACTTTAGACAAATTTTCACAAATCAGTTAGAACTCTACCAAATATAAATCAGTGAAAGCTGTTATTAATTATATATAACAGAAGCAATAGTTGTAAAAATTACTGCTACAGCTGATATTTTATAAATATGCAAAGTTCTTATCCATTAGGAAGATAACAGAAGGCAGGCACAAGAGCTAGCAGAGCTGAAATCTAATAACTATTCTTTGATTCATCTATTAGTACTAAATACTTCTAGAGTTAGTGGGGGGAAGAGAGAGAATTTGACTTGGGTTAGGAGAGGGGCTAATATACACAGGTCAGGACATACCAACCTTTTCCAAGTGTGGAAACACGACCTATAATCCCAATTAAATCTAGGGAGAGAATTGTGAACATAACTTCCCCAATTTTGGCCCCTCTTATGGGGGTAATCCACCTTCTTAATGGGCAAGGGTGTCAAATGATATTTAGATGAACCACAAGGAAAAAAAAATCTTAGTGACCAGATAAATAATTCCACTGGAAGCAAGTAGTCCCAGACAAACTGTAACTCTCAAACCCCCAGACTTCTTTCTTGATATAGGAGACAATTTATAAATTGATCCACATTCATAAAAATTTCCAGCCCTAAGTATCAATCAGGCAGCTGACAGAAGAGGAAATATCCTCTACGATTCCACCAAATGAGGAAGGCACACTTGCTTGCCAATCGCTCACTTTTGTAGCCATCCAGCAGTCAATTTTGATAGCTGTATCCACAACTGATGTCACCACGCATTCAGAGCTACAGTACTTTACTGGACAGCACCTTGCTTAAGAATCAAGATAGTAATCCTCTTCCCTGGGCTAATGGAATCTTGACTGCACAACATCCCATACATTCCAACAATTAGAAAAGAATGGCTATAATTCCAGGATTTGGGGATGTCCATCATCTCAATTTTTTTCCATTCCATCAAGGAGTGTAATTCCAACATGGAAACTGTGTAGATCCAAAATGGAAAAATCAAACATTGCCTTCTCTCTTCTTCATCCAAGTACACATTTCCAGGTTTAAAGTATTGTTTGTAGAATCCAAGCGATTGAATCATTAAGGTCTGTTAGGATGTTTTTATGACAATCCAATTTATTTGTACACTTTATGTAGTGAAAACTGAGAAGCTGATACCAACTTCTAAAGAAAGTGTAGATTCTAATGCTCCAGAAATATTCCATATAGTACAACCATAAAATCTGTAGCCAAATAGCTCCATTGGGTAAAAGGATATATCCAAAGAAGGCCTTAACATTATCCAAGAGCAGGAGTAATTAATTCTAGAAGACAGGTAACTCCAAAAATGATGCTGCCATCATTTGCCATCATCTTCCTCTTTTTATCTCAGGAGTAAATATCCAACCAGCTGCAGGAAATATCCTCTACGATTCCATAAGATACCAGCCACTGGGATAGAAATAGCTTCTGTTTCCAACCCAAAATAGGAAACATTGAAAATGCCCAAAACTTTAAATCCATCTGGGGCCCCTAAATATGAGTTTCTGTTTCTCACCATATCAAATACAAAATACCTGCCTACAGAAACCTTGGAACTTACCCATCAAGTCTCCGCTCATAACGTCCTTCTCGTGCATGAAGTGATGGTGGGGGGCCATAAGCAGGCCCTCCACCACCTCCTCTGAACCCAGAAACCTCTCTACTACGAGATGCTATGGAAACTGTATCATCCAATCCCCGAGCAGCACTCGGAATGGTGCCTGGTTCATTATAATCCGTGCGTAGGTCTCTATCTCCCATTTTGTTGACTGAGTTGTGAGCTTTCTGTGCACTTTTGATGTCCACAAAATCCACAAAGGCAGCCACTCCTCCTTCAGATCCCCTCTTTGGGAGAATTTTGACACTTTCCACACGGCCATATCTGGAAAAAATAAAGTCAATGTTACTACTGGATAGTAATACTTTTCCAAAACTAGTTTTTGACAATTTTATACTTTGACAACTTATACTTTATATATATCTACTAGAGCAGGATTGCAAAGTAACATTTAATATGGTTTTTAAGGGCCTCCTTGGTGGCGCAGGGACTATGAAGCTATCAGCAACCACTGCAGCACCAGTTCGATCCCAGCCATGCAGCTGACCCACAGGGGCAGCAGACCTCTCCTGTCTGGCCCTCTGTGCCTCAGCAATGTACATCAATAGATAGGCCTGGATTGCAACTGAGATGGAAAAATGCACAAAAATATGCAAAAATAAACTATTATAAATATTTTTAAAATACTAAATATATATCCTGCTATTTTACCGATTTCGTTTTAACTTTTAAGTGAAAGTGATCTTACTGGAAAATTTAGATTTCAACTAAATCTAATTATTTTGTGTGCCACTTGGAAGGGACAATTTTTTAGTATATATGCTGTGGAAGCAAACACAACAGTCTAGTTTTCTAATATAGATTTTTAAAAGAGATTAAAAGAAAACTGCTCAAATTTGTAATTTTAGGTATAATTAAAGCTTTTTCATAAAAATAAATAACTGAGAACTTTTGAAAGGCTGTATGTTTTCATTTTTATTATGACTATTATGACTGTAAAGAAAAAATTTGAAGGCACTGTTTACATTTTGAAACTTAAATGTGAAAAATATAATTGTTTAGAATAAAAAAAGTCATGAAAATTCTTTAAGGTTCATTAAGAGTTAATTATATCCCATGTACTTGTAATTTGGCATTTAGAAAGGCAAGCACAGCACTTCCAAATATAGTTCTCTTATTTGCTGACAATCCAAGATCACAATTTTACATTTCCCCTGAAAAAGTAGACAACAAAAAAGCAGAACTTTCCATTTTATATCATGTAGTATGATCTAAGTTATTACCCCCTATGAGGAAAGCATAATTCTAGAAGCCATCTTATCAGGCAACTGAACAAAAAGTAATACAATTATTTAATGTAAATGAATAAATAAAAGAATAATTTTATACTGGAAAAATACAGAAATTGAAATAGTTCATTTTCCATACAAACATCAGGCATTTAAAAGTAACTTTCTGGGGCGTTTTCTGGTAGTGCAATGGATTAAAAGTGCAGCACTGTGAGGCTACAGGCAGCCACTGTACGGGAATCCGACCCCCCCCCCTTCCACCAGGGAGGGACCCCCATGGCTGGCAGAGCCTTCCGGACCTGCCAGCGGCTCCCCTCAGCAGTGTATTCCAGTCCATCTGCCTGTTCTGCTCCCCACTGTTTCTCACCCCCCCACACACACACAATTCTGCCCTGTACCCCAGTTCTTATATACATAAATAAGTAAATCTGTTCAGTAGATAAATAAATAAAAATAACTTGGTGGGGGGAGTCTCCCTGGTGACGCTATCACCAAACAGACGTCCTGTCTTGCCCACTTCTCCCCTCAGCAGTGTTTCAGTGTACCCACCTGTTCTTCTCCCCATTGTCTCTGGTAAATAATCTTACCCCCCTTTATACCTCTGGCCTATACCCCAGTTCTTGTATGCATAAATAAAATTTTTAAAAATAACTCAAAGTAGCTGACAAAGGACATACTTAAAATACACGAAATCTTACAACTCAACCCATCTTTTAAATTTATTATCAGAAATTTTTTTTTTTTACTAATTTTGGGGTTACATCTTACTCCTCTATATGCGTACATCTTCCACTCACCCTCCACCAAACCACCCATGCAAAACACCTCACTAAAGAAAATATGGCAGGCAGATAGTCAGAAGAAAAGATGTTCAAAATCATTAGTCACTAGGGAAAAGCAAATCAAAATCACAATGGAATACCACTTAACACCCATAGGATAGCTATTATTTAAAGAAAAAATGTTGGCAAAGATGTGGAGGAATTTAAACTCTTGGGTATACTTGACAGAATTGCAAAATGGTATAGCCACTGTGGAAAACCAGCATTTTCTCAAAAAGCTAAGCATAGAATTACCATATAACCCAGAAATTCTAGGCCCTTCCTGGTAGCACAAGGGGTTAAGTCTCAGCACTATGAAGCTATCTGCAGCCACAGCAGCATGGGTTCCATTCCTGGCCAGGGAGGTGACCCACATGGCACAGCAGACTGACTTCTCCTTTCTCACTCACTGTTCCCCTCAACAGTGCATTTCAGTCAATCTTCTGCTCCTTGCTCTGTCTCTCGTGAATCCTCTCACCCCCACCCCCACCCCCACCCCCAGCACCTCTGGACTATACCCCAGTTTTTGTACGCAGAAGTAAATAAATCTTTAAAACAAACAGTAATTCCATACTAAGTATATATAAAAAAAATTTGAAAATTGGGACTCAAACGGGTATATATGTACATCAATATTTACTTCAGTATTATTCAAAATAGTCAAAAGATGGAAATAACCTAAAGATCATTAGTAGATAAATGGATAAATAAAAGTGGTGTGTGTGTATATATATACACACACACATACACATGGATTATTTTAATATAAAAAACAATGATGTTTTGACACCTGTTACTAGTACATGGATGGATAAACCTTAATTAAAAACATTAAATAAGTCAGACACAAAAGGAAAAGTATTTGTGATTACATTTATATAAGATCATTTAAAATAGAAAAATGTAGAATAGAACAGAATGTAGAATAGAGGTTAACAGGGGCTGGATGAAGGGGGGAGTGGGAAAGCTTAATGAATAGTTTCCACATGAAATGAAAAAATTCTAGAAGTAGGCAGTAGTGATGGTTGTATCACAATGTAAATTTATTTAATATCAGTGAATGGTACTTAAAATGATTAAAACAAGAAGTTGCCATGTGTATTTTAACACACACACACACAAACAAGGCTTATAAACCTATGGCCACATAGATTTTTCTTTTTCAAAAAAAAAAAAGAAATGAGAAATAACAACCAACTCCCCATCAAAAAAATGGTCAAAGAATAATACAGGGGAAATAAACATTTAAGCTTAAATCCAGAAATAACCAGCCAAATGCATCAGAGAGGGACCAAATACTCAACGCATGTGGAACACAGGCAAAGGGCACTCCTTCCTCAAAACTCCTTCACAGTCACTATTGTTTTTAAATAAGGAAAGTACACTTTGGAACAAACACAACAAAGAACTTGTTTGGGTATCACATAGCTACACCAATCTGCTACAAGACAAAAAATACCCCCCCCCCCAAAAAACTTACAGCTGCACAGACATAAAAACAGGTGGAGCACTCGGCTAGCTCAGTCGGTACAGCATGAGACTCTTAAAAACTTAGGTGGGCAAGACCCTGCCTGGTGGTGCAGGAGTTAAAATCTCAGTGCCAGCCACTGCAGCAGGAGTTTGATCCAGGTCCGGGAACTTCCAACAAAGTGCAGCAGACCTCTCCTGTCTGGCCCACTGCTCCCCTCAGCAGTACATCTGCCTACTGTCTGCTCCCTACTATCTCTAATAAATCCTCTCAATCACCCCTTCACACCTCTGGCCCTCACCCCAGTTCCTATATGCATAAATAAAGCTTTAAAAATAAAATAAAATAAAATAAAATAAAATAGGCCCACCACAATGGGTTAAGTCGGCACCATGAAGCTATCTATCTACAGCCACTGCAGCGAGGGGGGTTCAATCCTCAGCCAGGGAGCTGACCTGCATGGTGCAGCAGACCTCTCCTGTCTCCCCACTGCTCCCCCCAACAGTGCATTTCAATTAGTTGTTCTGTTCCCCACTCTGTCTCTGGTGAATCCTCTCGCCCTCTCCCCCCACATCTGGCCTACACCCCAGTTCTTGTATACATAAGTAAATCTTTTTTAAAAAATAAATTGTGGTATCTTGACTGTAGTGGTAGTCATATCTATATTCATCAAAATTCAATGAAATAAGTACATTTTACTATGCAAATTATACCTTAATAAATGTTTAATGGTCACCCCCAAAAAAGGTTACAATTTGTATACCTTAAAGTCCAAGTTTTTAAAAAATTCTTTTTAAAAAAAGACTTTTTTTATTTATGCATACAAGAACTGCAGTGTAGGAGATGGGGGGGGGAGATTCACCAGAGACAGAGTGGGGAGCAGAACAGGTAGATCTATTAAAATACACTGCTGAGGGGAGATACAGGAAAGGTCTGCTGCGCCCTCAGCATCAGCTCCCTGGCCATGTGAGTTGGCAGGGATTGAACTCATGCTACAGTGGCTGGAGATAGCTTGATAGTGCTGAGATTTTAACCCCTGCACCACTAGGGAAGTCCCTAAAAAAGATTCTTAAGACCAGCCTCCCTGGTGACAAAAGGGGTTAAGTCGCAGCATTATGAAGCCATCTGCTGCCGCACGAGTTTGAGCCCCAACCAGGGAAGTGACCCACATGGCACAGCAGACTCTCTCCTGTTCATGTCACCCCACTGCCCCGCTCTGCAGTGTATTTCAGTGCATCTGCCTATTCTGTTCCTCACTCTGTCTCTGGTAAATCCTCTCATCCCTGCCCCTCTGTATCTTTGGCCAATACCCAGTTCTTTTATGGATAAACAAACAAAAAAAAATTCTTAAGACAAAAACTTGAATACTGACCAGGTACTTGAAAAAGAGATTAATTATTGGTATTCTAGTAAAATGCTTTCTATAGTATTTTCTAGAAATAAATATGAAATATTTATAGATAAAATGGCTATAATCTACTTCAAAACAATACAAATTACACAAATTCCAGCACTCTGGGGCTTGTGCCAAGGAATAGAGAGACTTGATGTATTAAGAAACCCCCTGGATTAGTGCCAACAGTACAGAGAGGGGAGGAAAAGAAGTATGGTTGAATGATGTCAACTAGGTTTTGAAGGTGGGGACAGAGCAAACTTTGCTGATAAACAATACAAAAGTGACTGACACCCAAGTAATGCAGCAATGTGATTTTTAAAGTATTACTTCTAAGAAATAAACTCTT